ATCTCAATCCAGTATGCCGCGCTACAATGGATTCTTGGAAGGAGCAGCAGAGAAGTGTCCGAACTTGCTGATTAATCATGACCTCGAGCGCTTTCTCTACCATGGTAAAGAGAATACGGTTGAAGCAAAAGTGAAGGGCAAATTTGTGACTCTGGTGAAGTCTCCAGCGTGAAGGTATGAGATCCCTTCCGCATGGACATCACTCATTCAAAATATGTCATTTCTTCATACCATCAGTGGTCTCCGACCACTGGTCGGTGTGTAATCCGATTATTGATAATGGTCTACTGTAATATTTGTGGAGTATGATAAGGTGGATGAAGTATGATTCTTAAATATTCTCTCCTCGAAAGAACCAGAGCAATATGTCTATGTCTATGATCAGTCCTGTGTCTTTGTCCTCACCGCCATCTCATCGGAGAATTCCGTATTCGTGGGCTTTTGACAGGAGGTGGAAGTTGAGGTCTCTCATTGTCAGTTGAAGCTGCACAGCACCTGGTCTTGAGTTGTATAACATGGGGAGTTAGCTACGGTAATAATGTAACACTGATGAGTATGCAAGCCGCCTCAGAATCGCAACTCAACGATGAGTAGTATGAGTTAGAGAGCCAACTCATACCGATCAGCAGCCAATGATTGTTGTGACACGACACTGACTGAGCTGATCGTAAGGACGCTAAGATCCGTTAAAATCTTATTATTAAGTTCATCATCATTGATGATGATGATGATGATGATTTGGTATGGCGTTTTTAACATTTGGACTCTCTAATCTATTTAATAGATTCTATTATCCCACAAACCGTTTGATAGTTGCCACTCGTGTACCTCACCTTCAACGCAGCTTTTCATCATACCGTTTAATGAACGTCACAAAAGGCATGTTAGAGGAGTACCACGCTGAAGTTGATAGCAGTGATTCACCAGCAGTGAATTCAAAACTATCCCCTTCGACGTCAGCGTTCGATTGCTTCATGGCGACCAACCGATGGTCACGCATTGGAATGAACAGACTCTCGAACGATCATAATCTACCAATTGTAGTAAAGTTCCTAACATCCTTAATCCTTATCTTGGCCTACAGTAAGGAGTGTAGTTGCGACACATGTCAGTAATGCTGTGAGGAATAACGCAGCATTCTGTTTAGTAGGAGACGCTAAGAACCCTCACCAACGACTCCCTCACCACCCCTCCCCAACTTGAATGCCAACAGGAAACATTTCGACTCAATTAACACGAAATTAGAATTCGGATATGAGAAACTGTACGACACAGCCTATATATCAGAGTGAAAGGATAAAAGGTGGATCAATCATCTTGGACCGAAAGTAGCATCACCGTAGTCGAGGAGAGTATTGCCGAACCTCTCGAAAACAGGGAAACCTGATGCAGGACCAAAGAGTCTGTCCACGAGATCTTCTGCAGTCTTCTGGTTCCTGACATAACCAGACTTCTTCAAGAACTCAACCATAACTTCTTCAGCTTCCTTCAGGAAGCCCTCATCTCAAAATGGGAGACCTCAGGAGTGTCAGAAGCCTCTGAACTGAAGTTGATTCACAACTGACCTGCAGCTTCGACGCGGGGCATGCTTTATAGTGCTCATGGCACTATAAAGCATGCCCTC